GGGGCGGCGGCGGCGGGCAATGGCGCTGCAGGCCTCTCGCCTTCCCTGCGAGCTCTTCGAGTCTCTGGGGCACTTGGTTCAGCATTCTTGCTTTGAATCCTCAGTCAAATATTTCCGAACGCTCTTTTCACCTGTAGACGAGTAGGAACCCGAAGGCCCCCCGGGAGAGAGCTGGTACCTGGCTGCTTGCCAGCAGTACAGCGCGACCCCCATCTCCCACTTCCTGCGCTGCATGCCAGATAACGCTTTGTAGGTTGAATTTGCAGGACTGGCATCTAGGAAAACTGAGCTTCTAAACTGGATTGGGTGGAACTGAACCCCATCTCCAGTGAGTCAGCAAGCATCTACTCTAGAGGCAATACTTGTCTGCTATTCCCAAGGACGTTTCACATGTCTAATATTTCTGTAGTAATCTGGGAACAGAAGCAGAGCAGTGATTCCTGATATTTAAGTCTCAGGCAGTGTCGGGTCTAGAGATCATGGTTTTAGTCCCTGCTTCTCCAGGGTCAGTATTTCTGACTTTCGTAACTTAAGTAGCATCTCCCAGTTATACATGGAAAGTTTACCTGGTTCTGGATTGCACATGACATGGGGAGAGAGGGACCCATGCTGGCTCTGCAGAGCTGATGTGCAGCGAGGGCTGTTAACTGAGATACTGTTTTCTATGCCAGCTCACACCGGAAGCAGCTGCGCTAAGAAGCCCTCTGCCAAATCTGAGGTTGTTACATACAGAGAGAGTTCAGGAGTCCCTTTGCTGTTTCCCTCTACTGTGTTTCTGTGGAGAATGTGGAGCAGAGATCTAACATGCATCTGCATGGAGGCTCTGTCATGTCTCTGCGTTATGCCTTCCAGTACTTGCATTACCCTTGTGTTCCACTGTCTGAATCTCCCAGGCCTCTTCTAGGATACAGTCAGACTCTTGCAAAAAAATCAAACTCTTCAGTTGCTACACTGAAGGATATATTTTATTCACAGAGAACAAGGTCAGTTTTAGACAGCTGAGACTAGGACCTAGCTCCCTAATGTAACCAAGTCAATGCTTATATGCTTTGCCGGAGAGTCTTTTCAGATGAAAGCGTCAGGTTTGGTGCTATCAAACACCTGCTAACGTGGGATTTCCTTATTTCTGTTCTCTAATGATTGGACTCAGTGCTCGAGGCTTACAGTTGTGTTACTTCAGTGCTGGGAAAATTCATTCTGTATGTAGGTGGGCAGAGAGGTTCATGCTTTTATAGGTGGAATCTCAGGGCCTGTTTTCACATCCATTCATATTGTTACACCTAGCTTTGCTATCTCTTTCTACCAGTCTACACTCTGTTTTCAAGCCATGATGAGGAACTGAGAAACCTGCAATAACTTTGCTGGGTGTAGGCTGTGTCCGGACTGGGAAGCACAGATGCACAAGAAGCACTTTTGTCTCATGTCCCATATGCTTATGGCAGAACTTGAATGAGGGCTACATCTTAAAGACAGGCTATGAATTCAAAAATCAAATTCATTACATTTTTTTTATTATTTTTATTAAAAGAAAAAGATATTATATTAGACCAGTTTCACTATGCTTATTTTCTGAGCCTGGAAGTACTTCTGCCATTGCAGCATAGAAACCAGACACTTCCCTTGGCTAAATGATTATATGATTTGATGACCTGACAATGTTTTTTTTTTTTTTCCTTTCTCAACTGTTAATTAATCTGACAACAAACTAGGAGCCGAAGGAGCCAAGGCCTTTTCTACTATGCTTCTAGAAAATACTGCAATTATGTCCCTTCAGCTCTCAGGAAATGAATTTGATGACCATGCAGCTAAGTACTTAACAGATGCCCTCAGCAAACAGTAAAGTGGAAATTCTGGATCTGGGTTACAACATGCTCAGTGACAAAGCAGGTAAGGGGCTGCTGTCTGTATACCCTGCATAAAGGAGTCATGCAGAACTTAGCAATGCAGCTTAAAGAGCTTCATTAGTGCTCTGATTGCTTCAGACCTTTGCACAGCAGGGATGGTTAATACTTTCAGTTTCCTGAAAAGTATTTTTGGGGTTTGTAGGCAAAACCAGTGTCAGCTGCAATGATTTGTCTCCTGCATGTTCACTCTCATTCTTTTCTTATAGCGTTCAAGTTTTACCTCTTCAATTTCTTTTCTCCCTTTCTTCCTAGTTCCCAAGTTCTGATGCTCTTTGTTACACTGGACTATCATTTGCTTTTTTCTTGATGATTATTTCAGTCTCACTTTCACAGATGTGTAAAATGCTTAATATGAACAGAAAAAATAGCGGAAGTGAGTTTGTCCAACAGACCTAGCCTAGCACCCTGTTGCTGAGAGGTGATTACAGATGCCAAGGGAAGGATGTAAGAGTAGAACAAGCAGACAGTCATACTTCCCCAAACTGTACCACCTCTGACCGTTTGTGGTTTGGAGATTTCCTTTGTTTAATGACTTTGTGTGTTTCTTTTCCATGTGCTTTTTGGTCTCCAATGAACATGCCCCTCCCTTGACCTTATTTTAATGCATTCTGCTCCTTTTCTTTGGCTCCTAATTTCTAAGCATACAGTTATTTAATTGTAATCACTGCATCCTTGCATTCAGAGTGTTCTTGTGATGCTCTGCAATCCGGTTATTGCTTTCTAGGCCTTAGTCTGTACTGGTTTTGCTAAGCTCACTTTGCTGGGCTGAAATTATCCATCCTTTCTTCCTAACAGTCCACTTGCACCAAACATTCCTTATGTTGTCACTGCTTTTCACCCTTTCTGTTCATCTGCTTTTTGCACCTTGCTGGCGTGTGCTTCATCTTCTCTTTCTCTGGCTGTCCTTGGGTGATCCCAGCCATGTGTTCTGCTATTATCTCTAGGCTGAAGGTTCACAAATCTTCTCCCTTTTATTGGTCTCATTCTGCAACTGTGCTCCAAACTCCCTCACCTGCAATATGGTCTATGATGAATACACACTCCAAAAGGTCATACTGAATTTCTCCTCGCACTTGCCATATCCCATGCCTCCTGTCAGATTTACATTCTTCCTCTCTAAATCTGACACTGTCTTTCAGGAAAAATCCACCATCTTCTCTCCATCCACCGCTTTCCAACCTTAATCATCACATATCTTAGCTGCTATAGCCTCATCCTCCATGTCCCCAGAGGGTTTCTTTAGCTTACAAGAGAAGAAGCAACCATAATCCTTATCTCTTCTGGCCACTGGGAACGCACCAGGTCCTTCATTTGGCTCCTTCCCAATTTTGTTCTGAATGTTTTCTTGTTATTACCTTTGAAGGCTGCAAAGGCTGCTTTTCTCTCCATCCCGCAGCAGGTCTCCTGCTGACCTCCTGCTGCCCTTAACAGTCAAAATGCTCTTCTCTGTCTTCTGGTCTCCGAGTGGGACTATGACTTCTTCTACTCCTGTGCTGACTAGCTCACCTCATTTCCTTCCTGCCCCATTGGAAATTTATAGAACATTTGCTGAGAAAACCTCTTCAGATTTCATAATAGCACAGTAGCTGTTGGAGTGGTTAAAGAGAGAGTAGACCTGGCTTCTCTGCCATGAGCAGACCCAAGTTGGCTGGAGGCCAGCACTCAGGAAGGGTAAGAGACTGTGGGAAGTTACCTGTTGCTTGTTGTCAATCTTTAAATTCACATTGGGCCAGAGAATGAGCCTGTGCAGACAGCTCTTCAGGCAGGAGCAGCAAACCCTGGTTTCATCCTGTGATTACTGAATTTTCTCTCCCTCTTTGCTACATGTGCGATCTGTGGTCAGAGGACAAATACACTTTGTTTTCTGGCAGTTTCTGTTTTCTGTGTATGATGAAGGAGATACAAAAGAAAATTTTATATATTTTTTTTAATTGCTTGCCTAGAGGTAATGCAGAGAATTGCAGAGAAATACCTAAACTAACCTGATCTTCCAGCTTTGCAGAGCAGCTGACTCTTTTAAAATGTTTTACTTCTCAAGGTGAAGTTCTTGGAATGGCAATAGCAGAACACATTGGATTAAAGGAACTTAAAATCAGCTGGAACCGTTTCTGTAGCCAAGGGGCAGCTGCTTTAGCCAAAGGCTTGGGGGTAGGAAATGATTTTAATCCTGTTTCTAAATTCTGGAAACTCACATGAAGTTCAATCTGTTCAAATGGGCATGGATGTCATGATGTGCTGTTTGCCTTAAGTGGCTGCCTGTCTGGCAACCATTTGTGATCTGAGAGCATACACACCTTGGAACTAAGGGAGTGAAGATGAGAATATGTTTTCATTTCTCTGTTTCTAGTTCTTTCCTTTATAGATCTAAATTACTATAATGACTTACTTTAAATTGCTTCGTTTCACTTCTGATTCAGAATGTTGTTTTATATTCCATATACAGTTTTCACTCTACTAAAGAATGTAATTTCCCATTAAAATATATTTTTTTCTGGCTTTTTAGGCTGAAAGGGGCCATTAAAGTCATCTAATTTCACCTCTTATATAATGCAAATCACACATGCCATCCAAGGACTTGTGCAGCAAACTCACAATTGCTTTTTGAACTGTAGCAGGTTTCTTGCAGACCTACAGCTTCTAAGTGACTGTGTCCTATCTGAAGAACCCCTTTTGGGAGGAAGGGATATGGGCTTTATAATCAGGATTTTGATGGCAATTCCAGGTGCTAAGAACATTCACTCTTTCAACCTATCCACCTTTTAACTTTTGGAAAATTACCTTTCAGTTCTCAAATGGTCAGGGGGTTGTTTTGCACTAATGTTTCCCAGAGCATCAAGGCAAACTTGGCAAGGGAAACTGACAGGAAGTAAAAATGAAGACTGTTTGGGGTTCAAAAGAGGCACTCTTGTTCCTCTATGGAAAAGGGATGATACTGTATTAATTCAGCTGCAACAAAAACAAGTCCTAGATGTGTAGACTGATTTTTTTTTTTCTTTACATCATCTCAGTTAGTTCTGGAAGCTAAGAAGCTCCACACTCTTACTTTCTTCTTGATGGCTGCATCTTTTTTTGCTCAAGCCCCTCACTCTGCTACCCTCTGCCTTAATGCAGCTCCTAACACTAACTGATCCATCTGTGTATGTTCCAGGATTCATTCCACCAGGATTTCAGATTGCACCCCTTCACCATGTTCTCAAGAGCACACTTATATGATCTTTACCTTGTCATCTCCATTTCCTCACCCTTCCCAGTGCATAATGGCCAATGGCCTTGCATTGGCTGTATCCAAAGGAATCTGTTGCTTCAAAAGCCCAAACTGAGATGTTGAGCACAAGAATAAGGGTCTTTTTTCCCAACTTTACAAAAACAGAATTAGATGCACAATATATTTTAAAGTAACCCTAGAATGGAAGTGGAAGTTAGCGAGGACAGATCCTCCATGAGAAGACGTCTGATGAAAACTGGTTTGTCTTGTGCTGAGACTGAAATTGCACTTACTACCAGCCTTTCATCCAGAAGTTTTTGCAAGATTGTCAAAGCTATCTGTGAAGGAGATCTTCCCTAGTTACACCCTCAGCAGAGTCCCAGAAGTCCTCAGTTATCTTCTAACTCCTAGGCAATATACAGGTACTCAGGGTTTGGCCCCTTTTCACACATTAAAATTCACTTTAGATCCCTGTGTGCTGAGTCAGTGCATTTGAAAGCTCTCTGCTTCTAGCCATAAAGCTCTCCAGAGCATCAGAAACCTTTTGGCAGCATTAACTTGCAACCCAATCCAAGACCCACTGAAGGGAGTAGGGGGAAAAAATCTGACTCTCCTGAAGCCTTGGCAGTGCTTGCTGTTTAGCTGGTGAAGGGCAGGCTGTTCAAGAGCCCACTAAAGCAGCTGAATTCAAGAAGATACTAAATCATGCTGCCTACTGTCTGGGAGAAAACAGTCCCAGTGGCTGAGGTAGATGTCGCTGCCATGTGAGCTGCCCTTGGTGCTCAGCCAGAGAGAAACTGAGCTGTTTAAAAGCCAGTTGAAAACGTCTTTCATAGAATATATGGAGGAGGTGAGGCTCCATTTGCAGCCTTCTCTTCCGTTGCTGCATCCCTTCTCACACTGCTTTGAGTGATCAGATTTTATAGCTTATAGGAAAACTATAATCCTGCATTCCTCTTACCATCTGATAAAGAGCGTCTTGCAAATTGGTTGAGGTGAGAAGCCAGTAATAAAAAGGGGAGGCCCCCCAGGACTTAACTTTATTTTGCTTTATTCTGGTAGGGATATACTAATGGCTACACTTATTTTTTACTATCTTAGAAATCTTATGTCTTGCCTCCCTAGTTTTTCTGGAGAGCTCCTTGGAAAAGAGAATAAGATGGCCATTTTGAGAAAATAAACCTAAACAAATGTAAATCTGAGCTCTTCTTCCAGGCCTTGATCATCTACAGCAAGTTTTAGGGAGACCGAGTATTTTCCGGCTCAAGCTCCCACCCAGAGACCTGAAAAAAATCAGACTAAACTGTCTGGTCCCTGAGAAAAGCTTGCTCACAAGTAACTGGAGAACTCTCCAGGCCACGTTTGCCTATCTTACATGGATGACCACAAATATTTCTTCATCTGACCATTCAGATCTGTGGATGTTTTTATTAAGCTTCTGACTGTATGAAATAACTTTATTTCCCCTTGAAAAGTAGATATTCTGTACAGGTGAAGTAAACCACAACTCCTGTCTCAGTACAGCACTTGGAAAATCTTTGTGACTTCATTTTTGTGCTATTGTTGTGACTTTCTGGTCGTGCCTATTAAACACTGAGGCATCAGAGATGGGGAGCAGTAACCCAACTCTGAGTTGGGTTATTCTCTCACTTTTTTCCCTTCTCTTGCCTGGCTCTGTGCTCAGGGTGACTAAATGCAATCAACTGCAAATCCTCAAAGCAATCAGCAAGACTGTAATCTCTTTTGTTTTTCCTGTTGTGGGACTAGAGTTCACCGTGTCATTGAAGCTCCCAGGAAAGGCAATCCCTTTTGGTGTATCTGTGCTCTGCACTCCAGCTTCTAATAAGCCCAGATTCCCTCAGCGTCCACGTTGCATACCTCTGTGTTCTAGCTTGAAAAGAGCTTTTTGAGCAGGAAGTTCAGGCATAGGTTGGGAAAAGGGCTCATACCAGAGCAATATCTTTGCACATGGCAAGGGCATACATGGCTCCAACCAGTTATTGCAGGACAACTCAAGCCCATGGAGAGACATGGATAAGAAAAACTGTGGATGTAGACTCAGACTCAGCAGATCAGATCACATCCTTCAGGATCTTCAGCAGGCCCTTGGGGTAAGTTACCAATGAAGGACTAATTCTTTCTCAGTTCATGGGTCTTAGCACTGCCACATCTCTGCTTGCATGAGCTCCAGCAGCTATGGCTCCTATATGCCAAGGTCTTCACAGAAAAAAAAAAGGTTGTACCAAATGACAAGGAGGCTTCCTTTCATGTGTTTGTGTTGCTGTACAGGCAAACACATGCCTCAAAGTGCTGGATGCCTCCTACGAGGGCTTTGACAACTGTAGAGCGACTGCCTTGGGGGAAGCCCTTAAAACCAACAATGTACTGGAAGAGCTCAACGTAAGGTGAGTCAGGCTCTGGTCCCACTGCATGTTTTGTCCCATTTCTCATTGAGATAAATGTGGTGGGTAAAGCCCCCAGCAACCATTTATATCTCCTATCTGCAGAGAGTGGTTGATGCATAAGGCAGAGAGAGAATGCCACAAAATACTAGTGCTGCTAGTCTCATCCTGAATCACAGTTTCTCTCCTTAAAACTGGGGTGCAATAACATCTTTTGATCCTGTTACTTGCTGCCATTCCCCCTATTATATACTTGATGGCACCAGTTCTGTGTCATCCTTGCAGTCTGAAAGAAGTAATCACAGAATCACAGAATGGTTGAGGTTGGAAGGGACCTCTGGAGATCATCTAGTCCAACCTCCCTGCTCCAGCAGGGTCACCTAGAGCATATTGCCCAGGATCACATCCAGACGGGTTTTGAATATCTCCAGGGAAGGAGACTCCACTACCTCTCTGGGCAACCTGTTCCAATGCTCAGTCACCCTCACAGTGAAGAAGTTTTTCCTCAGGTTCAGATGGAACTTCCTGTGGTTCAGTTTGTGCCCGTTGCCTCTTGTCCTGTTGCTGGGCACCACGGAGAAGAGGCTGGCCTCATCCTCTTGACACTCCCCCTTCAGATACTTGTACACATTGATGAGATCGCCTCTCAATCTTCTCTTCTCCAGGCTGAACAGGCCCAGCTCTTGCAGTCTTTCTTCATAGGAGAGGTGCTCCAGCCCTCTAATCATCTTGGTAGCCCTCCGCTGGACTCTCTCCAGGAGTGCCATGTCTCTCTTGTACTGGGGAGCCCAGAACTGGACACAGTACTCCAGGTGAGGCCTCCCCAGGGCTGAGGAGAGGGGCAGGATCACCTCCCTCCACCTGCTGGCAACACTCTGCCTAAGGCACCCCAGCATACCATTGGCCTTCTTGGCCACAAGGGCACACTGCTGGCTCATGTTTAACTTGTTGTAACTTTTGTCCACCACGACTCCCAGGTCCTTCTCTGCAGAGCTACTTCCCAGCAGGTCAGCCCCCAGCCTGTACTGCTGCCTGGCGTTATTCCTCCCCAGGTGCAGGACCCTGCAC